CTACTATAAAATAAAAAACAACAGAAAAGAAATAATAAATAAGTATGGATTTTTTTTTTTTTTTGCATGGAATTATTGAGGGGTCCAAACTTTGAGCATCTCTCCTAACCAAACTATTGCGACCATATTTCCCAGATTGTGGCTACATTCTGTTTCTGGGGGATCAGAAATTCAAATGTGTTCAAAAAAGGATCTATTAAGTCAGAGACAGTATGCTTTTGTGTCTGATTTCGTAACTTAAAAATGTCGTCAGCAGTAACTAATAAACATATTTGAGGTCACCTAGCGAACTATTAATATTAAGTCTAAGTACATGACAATCCATTCATTGAAACAGAAGTTAAATCAAAACCCAATGTGCTGCTCCAGTGCAACGTAAAAAAAAGTACCTACCTACCTTTTACTCTACAGTGGGATCGATAACTTCTTAATTCATCTGAATTCGCGATCGCAACAAACTATACGAGGCGTTGTTATATGAGACAAATACCTGCTATTTCTATATGAACAGACTTTTATAGTTACTCTGGAGCCGTCTTTAATGTAGCATGTAGCATTGTAACATTTCTTCTTTATTGTGGCTTATTAAATTTAAAAAAGGAAAATGTTTGATATTCTTTCTTATGCAAACGAAAACAAAATGGTATCTCTTTCTTTTTTTTTTTTTTTTTGGGAGAGAAGGAACATCCAAAACTCATCGGAAAAATATTTGTAAATAAACAGAAAAAAAAATATGCATCTTCTTATTAGAGTTAAACCCTAATGCCTGAGAAGTAGTTTTACTAAATTTAGTGATATGACATGAAAGGCCTATTTAAACTTTACATTCTATAGTTTTGAATTGTATTAATAATTATGTGGTTTCTAATGGATGGTGTTTTCAATAGAAATGTAAACAATAACAATCTCGAGCTCGGGACCTACTCTAGTTCCGGTTAAAAAGTTTGCAGCTACTTACTACATGTTATTCTAATAGGCGATGTTTTCAAACGGATAATTTTGTTTTCAATAAAAGAAATAAACTAGATAATTTCTGAGCTCAAATCTGCCGTATTTCATAAGATATTAATGTTATTATGTAATTCTGGGGAGTTTGGAGTGAAAATTTGTTTTAGTTATTTTGTTATTTATTATTAAAAAAGGTGACATGGTTGCTAGATTTTGAATATCTCGCTTTTTTGGCAGTCTTGATTTGGCCTCTTTCCATTTGTTTATTACTGTTTGNTCAAATTCTTATTTTTAATCAATATATATGAAATGTTCCTTCACTGGGTAGTGTTCTTTCACTGGTTGGACCCTACCTGCGATTTCTATATGAACAGACTTTTATAGTTACTCTGGAGCCGTCTTTAATGTAGCGTGTAGCATTGTAACATTTCTTCTTTATTGTGGCTTATTAAATTTAAAAAAGTAAAATTTTGATATTCGTTCTTATGCAAACGAAAACAAAATGGTATTTCTTTCTTTTTTTTTTTTTTTTTTTTTTTTTTTTTTTTTGGAGAGAAGGAACTTCCAAAACACATCGGAAAAATATTTGTAAATAAACAGAAAAAAGAAATATGTATCTTCTTATTAGAGTTAAACCCTAATGCCTGAGAAGTAATTTTACTAAATTTAATGATATAACATGAAAGGCCTATTTAAACTTTACATTCTATAGTTTTGAATTTTATTAATAATAATGTGGTTTCTAATATTAATACTTTTGATTTTGATCATTTGTACACTAGTATACCCCATACACAAATAATTGATATTTGTAATATTATTCTTGATAAATATTTATTTAATAAAAAAATATTGATAAATCTTATTGGATGGATGTTTGTAGGTTTAATCTTTTTGAAAATATACTTTGTAATGGCCTTAATTTTTATAAACAAACTATAGGGATTCCGCAAGGTAATTCTTTTTCTGGTGCTTTTGCTAATATCTTTTTACATTTTTTTGAATCTTTTAGATATATTGATGATTTAATTTTATTTAATTGTGATAATTTTGATTTTATTTTTAAATTTATCCTAAAGAATTGGTTTTGAAGAAAATTTATGACAATTGCTTAAGTGTTGAATATTTAGATTTTAAAATTGATATTATAGATAAACAAATTAAAACTGGTGTACATGACAAAAGAAAAGCTTTTGATTTTAATGTTATTTTTTCTATAATTTTAATACTAATTTGTGCAGTAAAATTTTCAAAAATTTAGTTTTCTCTCAATTGTTTAGAAGTAATGAAATCTGTAATAATGTTTTAAGTTTTCAAGAGGCAACTAGTAATGTTTTAAAAAATTTAGATGATAATGGTTTTCCTTTTATTTTCTGTAATATTGATTTTAAAATTAAGAAAATGATTGAAAACTATTAGTTTTTCATTTTGTTTAGCAAAATTCAAATCTTGTTCAAGTCTCCTTGCTCAAGCTTTTCTTTTAATAACGTCACTACTTTCTTCACCTCTGTCCTTTTTTCTTTAAACTGCGTAGGATAGGGGGCGTTTTTTGTATATTTATTTTATTTCAGTTGTGGTTTGCAGTCGGTTTGGCATACTTAGCTATTGGATTTTTTATTTTTCTAGTAAGCTTTAGTTCTTACTTTTATTTTGTATTTGTCTTGTTTTTATTCTACTGTGTTTGTTTCTGTATTTTAAAGTATATTTTATACTATATTCTTCTGTGTTTTATTCGCGATCGCAACACTCGAATACGCCATCTGGGGAGAGACCGGCTTCATGCCTTTAGTCCTTCTCCCTTCCCTCTCCTCCTCTTTTCAGTTGTATAGGAATGTACTACGATATTTTCCCTTTTCTTAATATTTTTCCTTTTTATTTAATAAGAATATTTTTTAAAATTTCCATAATAGTTTTCTTTAGAACTATGTTTAATGTAGTTTTCAGTTCCATATAGTTTTTCAAGTTAAGAGATTTCAATCTATATGAAAATCAAGAGAGAAACTAACGTACTTCCTTCCTCTATGACTTTCCACACGCTAATGGGGAAAGCATGTGAAGTGTTGCCATAGGAAAAGAGTTCTGATCTACGCCACCTGCAGCCCATTTCGATCGCCAATTGTATATTATGAATTCTTTTCCTAGACTTTGGCAAAACTTTTGGGGTACAGAGAAGGCAGATTTTAGACTTCTGTCTTGCTTTCTCGATGGAAAAAGTTTTGCATTTATGACATCTGAAGCTGGTACCCCCTGACGACGTCAGCTTTGGTTGTCATATTTTTCCAGTTTTTTCATTTTCAAGTTCGTTAATGCACCAGTCACATTAAAGAGCCATTTTCACTGAATGGGATTCACGCACCTTCGACTGCCATGGAGTAAAAGGGAGAACGTGATTGGTGAGTTCTTTTTATGGTAGAATATATTTCACTTATCCAGACCTTGTTCCCCCTCGGTTGCTGTCCCGCAGTGGACTGATCGTTAAGACACGGTTCCCAGCAGATCACCGAAGTCAAGCATCACTGGCTACGGTCAGTGTGCGGGTGGGTGACCACTTGGATCAGTCTGCGTAGGGACCGAGGGTGTGCGGTATTG